AGAGTTTTTTCTGAGCAGCTTTTGTGGACTTGAATTTTTTTATTTTTTTTTTAGTGCAAAAGGAATTTTTGTATTTCCTTGGATGATGGCATGCAAAGAATGTTAAACTTTTGTTTGACACTTTGTGTCATGCATGTTGATTTTAGAGTACAGAAACAGCCATAGACTGTGTGTTTATGATTGTCTCCAGGAGTTGTCCTGACTTCTGATTTATGATGATTACTCTTCTGTTTAAAAGACTGGGAGTTAAGTGGATGCTGGTTTGCCAAATGATATACAAAATACTTAAAAAAAAAAAAAAAAAAAAAAAGCAGCAAACAAAACACTGCCACCCAACACCTTGTGATACCTGTTGACATATTAAACTTAGCGTACAGTAGATTGGTTTCCTGCGTGATATTTCCCAACAAGTTAATGGAAAAGATAAGAAAATGTAGGAGTTCTATTATTAGTAAGCAAAGAGTTGAAATTACTTCTTAAAAAAACAAACAACCCACCAAAAACTTCAGACACAAACCCCACTGCATTATTGTTTTTCTTTTTACAAAATAAGCTATTTTTCTTCAAAGACATTTGGATTGAATGAGTAAATTCTGGTAAATTTCTATTATAATGCATGTTTGCTCTGAAGTGGATTTTTAGTAAGTCTGTGTGAGATGAAGTTCTATTGTGGTGTTCTTGATAGAGTATATAAATTCTAAAAAGTAAAAATTAATATAACGCTTTAAGCAAAACTCTTCATTTTGGGATGGTCTATTTACAGGATAAACGTCTTGTTCCTGGAGGTGGTGCAACAGAGATTGAATTAGCCAAGCAGATCACATCTTACGGAGAGGTATGGCAAATAAGCTTTTGGAGTCTTTATTTTTATATACGTACGCACACATACATGTACTTAAATATGTATGCGACTTATAAAAATATGTACATAGTATTTTGTACCAAAATATATGTGTGTTTTAATGCATATAAATCAATTAAAAAATGGGGGGGAAAATACTTCCCTATTTTATGGTTTTTGAAATGCTGACGTGGTTTTCAAATTCACTTCAGACATGTCCTGGGCTCGACCAGTATGCCATCAAGAAGTTTGCTGAGGCATTTGAAGCCATTCCTCGAGCACTGGCAGAAAACTCTGGAGTAAAGGCTAATGAGGTCATCTCCAAACTTTATGCTGTGCATCAGGAAGGGAACAAAAATGTTGGATTTGATATTGAGGTAAATAGTCTCTCATGTTACTTGGTGCTCTGCGATACAGGGTTATATTTAAATGTACTTCTATCAATATGAAGTATTTATAGATTAATTTAAATCATTGAAGCTCTGTGTTGCACAGTCTAGAAGAATAACTTAGAATTAGTTAAGTGTGGTGTGTTTTTTTTTCATCAGCAAGCAGTTAAATTCAGTGTAGTATAGTGGCCTTAGGTAGGAGGTAAAGTGAAATACCGGACTAATGTGATGGTGAATTACAAAGTAATTACTTAAGTCTTCCTGTTAATGGATTAGGAATGGTTTTCTGAGGAGAGAAGGTGAGATCAGAAGAGTGTTAATTCGTTCTGAACCTGTAACCTTGAAAACCCACTAACTTGCTAGGTAGGAGCCTGAGACAGTTTGAATCATGTTTTATCCCCTGACAGGCCGAAGCCGCTGCTGTGAAGGATATGTTGGAAGCTGGTGTGTTAGACACGTACCTTGGAAAGTCCTGGGGTATCAAGCTCGCTACAAACGCAGCAGTAACTGTCCTAAGGGTAGATCAGGTAAGCTTACAAGTTACTTGGGCGCTGAACTGAAACCTTTAACTCGGGGCGCTGAACACTTAATGCAAAATACGTGAATCTTTTGGGAATGCAAGGCTACTTCATAGGATACTTGAAAACATGGTTTGTTTATTTCTGAAAGCTGGGAAGCAGTTTGTTCAACTTGCAGAGCTGGGATGTTGCAGTGTTGCCGCTTCCATAGGAGCACTGTTAATATTTCTTTTTTTAAAGATTTGACAGTTGCTACTCCTATCCAGAAACAGATTTAACACAAGAAGCCTTCTGTCATATATTGTTTTTACATGAAAATCCAGCTTTTGGGAAAAATGGAGGTGTTAATGACAAAAATCTTAACTTTATGTATTTCGTGGAACTGTTCCAAAAATATATTTGCGTGTAAAATTTCTGTAGATTATTATGGCAAAAACAGCAGGCGGTCCAAAAGCCCCTAAGCAACAAGGACATTGGGATAAGGATGACTGGAAAGATGAGCCTGAAAAATAGTATGCAGTAAGCTCTGTGTCTCTAGCAGAGAGGTACCTGTGTGTGAGTGCATGCATGAGTATCTTGACAAGCACACAGCAGATGAAGTCTTTCTCGAGGACACGTAACACTGCTGTCTTGTGTGTGCTGACTGCTACATTTTGTATTTGTGCCTTTGCAAATGAATTTTACTCCTAAAACCAAATTTTCATTGAAGGGACGACAAGTACAGTTGTAGTTTTACCTTACTTGTCACCGTAGCAAGTGCAGAAAATGAGCCTTTAATGTGGTAGCACTAGTGGACTTTATTTTTAAGATGGGATATTTAGACTTGTTAATTCAGAGCAATAGCTCTGATAATTCTTCTGCTTCCTGTAGCGTGCATCCTGTAAACCAGTCACTTGTTAGCCTGTTTAAGCATTCACTTTCTGTAGACTAACTGAAGTCTTAATTTGCATGCAAAAATGAGGTAAAAGCCCTTTTTTGTATATCAGGGCTCAGCTTCTGCCATTTTCAAGGAAAAAAATAACTAATTTGTGAATATCTCAGATGGATAATAATATTCACTGGCTTATCTTCAGAGTGGGGAAACTGCATGAATTTAGTGAATGTTGATAGTTGGCATCATATGGCTATAAGTAAGAGGTGGGGGAAGGGCCTGATTCTAACCTTACCTTTTTCTACTTCCCTTCTATCTTCAAGATCATTATGGCAAAACCAGCTGGTGGCCCTAAACCTCCATCAGGAAAGAAAGACTGGGATGAAGACCAAAATGATTGAACAATTTAACTGTATTTCTTAAATGACATGATGATGTGAGTTTTTTAATATTCCAATTGGAGCCTGTCACAATGTTTTGCTGTGTTGCCTTTAAGTTATGAACAGTGTCCAGTAGAGTGCAGAACTCGAAACACTTCAATAAATGTACTCAGTGTTAAAACATTAACTGTCATTTTGTTTGGACTTGGTATTTCCCAATGCGAAGATGCAGGCATGTGTGGGGGTGGTGAGCTGGCCTTGGTGCCCCTTCCCCACCAGAATAGGGGCAGAACACAAATTGAAATAGCTCATGGGTTGGGGGAGATCACTTACCAGTTACTGTCACAGGCAAAACACATTCAATATGTGGAAAATTAATTTATTGCCAGTTAAAAATAAGAGTTGGAGGGTGAGAAACAAGAACAAAAACTGAAACACTCTCCTTTTCCCCTCCTGTTCCTTCCAGGCTCATTCCCTACCCTACCTTTGCCTTCCACATGCTGCAGGGCTCCTCTCTGTGGGCTGCAGGTTCCTTCCAGGAAATTCCCATCTGCTCTCCCTGGGGGCCTCCATGGCTGCAGCGCGGAGGCCTAGCATTGTCCTCTCCGTGAGCCACAGGGAGACAACCTGCCTCAGTGTGGTCTCTCCAGGGGCTGCCTGGAGCTCCTCCTCCCCTCACCTGGACACTGGCAGGGCTGTTTCTCAGGCTTTTCCCCTCACTCCTGGGCAGTACTTTGCCCTTTCTTACACAGGCTTTCCTCAAGGTGCTGCCATCTTGGCTGTGCCCTGCAGTGCTCCTTACCCAACATTTGAGTGTAAAAAGTCAAATGAGCATTGAAATAATTATGGCAGCAGGTCTGTGGTTCATGTCCACCTTCGATTTTGTTATATACATCTACTTCATTCCTACTGTTTAAGAATCTCCACACTCAAAATGGCAGCCTGACAGTGGTGAACTGCCTTTCCTTCTGCTGGCCTTAAAAATAAACACTGAGCAGCAAGAGCTTGCATGATGCAGAGCACTGGAATTTTTCAGCTGAAGCCCCCTGTTAAGATTCTTCTTGGAAAGTAAATGGCTTGTGTGTCTCAGAGTAGCTGGAAAGGAGAACTGCACTTGAAATCCAAGCTACTTCAATAATTAATCCTTTTATTACTCTTGCCAGTGCTACTCCATTTCACAGCCAGAAGGGAGTGGAAGGCTAAATCAAGTCTGGAACTATCTTATGCCTAAATAAGGCTGCCATACAACAGCTACACCACTGCTTTATAGTTGGTTGCTGGTGTGGCTGAAAAATAAACTCAGCAAGTTTTCAGGAGGACTGGCATACTGATACTGTCAGCTGCGCAAGTGCTACCGCTGCTGACCATAAAGGGTAACAGGAATAGGTAAGACTGCCCATTTTCTTTGTAAGGTTGTTGTGAAAAATGCATTGAATGTAAGCAGCTGCTGCTCTAGCATGGAGGAGCCAAGATGTTATTTATGTGAAATCCCATGTGAAGCCTGTGGAGGACTTTAAAGTTACCAGTCACTGCGGGACCAGTTTTCTTGCCCCTGCAGTGCTGAAAGGCTAAGCTGAGGTGCCTGAAGGGAAAGGGAGAGAGACCTGAGCTCTCAACCTTGCCAAAACACCAGAGTAAGGTTCCCATGTGGAAGAATTCCTAGAGTTTGCAAACTGAGGGCTCCTCTATTGGACATAAACCAACAGTGGAAAAGGAGCTGATGCTGAATTTGTCTCAGCTCTAAGATGTGTAGGAAGAAACAGCTTCTTATGCTTGGAAGCCAGTTCTAAAATACACGTGGAACAGATGATAGACGAGATGATAACTATAGTTCAAAACTATAGCTGGCCCCTTTAAAGTGAAAGAGTTGCTGACTAAGATGTATAGCACTTGCCAGAAACTAAAAGTAGTAGTCACTTATCTGTGCCAACACACAGATTACTCAAAAAAGGTTCAAAGCTGTAATTTTGAAAATACTTTTATTTAAAAGTAGTGAAAACACTGGAAAAAGTATAAGTTAACCACTTGTCAGTGTGCCTAAGAAGCATAAAGTATATTCCTGCAGTTGTATACAGTAGCTCCAACATGTTAACAACATGATTTGCAGGTCTCTGCCTTCTTTCAGACCACCTGAAGATGGCTGCACACACAGGAAGGCTTCTCAGAGGCACTACAGCAGTCGCTCATAGAAGAGGAGATAGGCTTGCGAGCTCAGCACTTTTGCTGCAGACACAGCTTGTACATGGGTATCGCTGATGTGGAACCACTGTCCTTTTACTGGTTCAGTTTCTAAAGCTGTGAAAGGAAGAATTTAGCAGTAAAAGTTATTACAAAGAATTGAAGCAATCAATCAAGCCTGTTACTGTTCTGCAGTAAGAAATAACTTTCAAAAATATTTCTAATTAGTCACCTTGAGGAGATTGTCCTCGAAGGACAAGATCAGAGAGACGGTTGTTCATACTTCTCATTTTAGCATAAGCAGTGTAGTGCCCAGACCTCATTGTTCCACTATGTTCAACAACACCGTAGAGAGAGTACAGTACTTTTGTATTCCCTTCAGCCACGTTCTACAAAAGCAAATGTTTAGGTATGTCACTCAGCTACTGGGTTTTAAACAAGGCTAGAATGTAAACTCTTTGCTTTCTGTGATTTGTTTGCTGATGAAAGGGAAGCTGGTCATTACAGATTCTCACAAGCACTACAACTATGATCAGTGGAAATACACTGACTCAAGTACAAGTTGCACCTGTAAGTTATCCTGTATTAGCACACAAAATAATAACTGAAGTTTGACGAGCACTCTACAGAGATTCTGCTAAGCAGCTTAACTGTGAAAGCACATTAGAACACAGGAAAGGAGAATCTGATTGTTTTCTGACTTACTTTACATTTAGCTGTACAGAAAGGAGCCAAGTCTATCACTTCTGGAAATTTGATATGCCTGTTAACCTTCCGTAGATTAAATCCAGCCTTAAACACAAAGTAGAGGAAAACCCCATAATGTTAAGATGTAGCATATTAAAACCATGCTTAGTTACCAAATGTTTCAGGTTAAAGTTTCAACAATACAAAATCAGTTTTACATTGCACAAAATTGGGGAAAAAAAGCAACATTGGGTTTTGGTTTTTTTTTCCTCCAATGCCCAAGGTTTTCCAACATTATGTCCTTGCCCCCATGTGCTGTACTGGAGCACAAGTTAAGACGGCTCTTCCACTGACTCATATGGTAACTTAATGGTAGCAAAATACAAAAAGAATCAGCTCTATGTATGCATGTAACTATGAGGACATCTCTTGCTTCTCAGATACTGTAGTATGCCTGAGGATCTAATTTTATATCGTTAAAACTGATGTAACTTCTACTGCCACATTCAAATAATCTTCCAGTATCAAACTGGATAAACAAAAGGAGAAGACGACAGATAATATTTCCCTACTCATGTTACAGTCACTTGGACTAGGCTTCACATTTTCATTTTCTCTGTGGAATTGCTTTTCATCTACTTAAAGTCACCTCCCTTATTTTTCAAGTATTTTGACCAAAATACTGAACAGCTTTAAATTTAAGAAAGACAAGATTTGGGTTTCCCATCCCCATTCTTTTCCACTTTCTTTCTTGAAAAGCTAAAGCCCTAAATTAAAAATTTTCTTACGACTTGGAAAAAAGGTAAGCTGCTTTACTTTGGTGTCTATAAATAACACTTAAGTTACATGGCTTTCCATTCCTCCTTTTTTTTTTTTTCCTTCCCTTCTCTCAGTAAGGCTTGGAATCCTCTCTTTTCCAATTCTACTGACCTATTTGTTACATTCATTTAATACGGGATCTTATTCAATCTGTACTGAAATTTAAGAGTCCATGACCTGCTGTAGTAGCAGAAACAATTAATGCCAAGATACTGCTTAATACAGTAACCAATAGCAAAGGAATATATTGCAAATAAGCTCACAAAACAGTGTTTTCCAGATAACTAATGGAATATTCTTTCAGGAAAACACACCCCAACTCCTCAAAGACCACAAGAACCAACCCTGCACGCCAATGCCTCCAAACCTTGGGGGGGAAAAAAAAAAGTGCAAACAAAAACCAAAACAGGCTTATAGGAAATGAAAATATGCTAACATTAGTTCTAAGTTAAGCTATTATGTGCATATATAAATCGATACTACATACATACACATTTTTGCAGTATCAGCCTGCTACTTACCTGTTGAAACCTCTTTAAGTGAAGAGTTAAAATTGGAGGAGCAAGAGAGATTAGCATCTGCTTTTTGGCATTAGTATAAACATAGTTCTTTTCACCTGCAGAAAAGAAAAAACAATGATTAACATCTAAACAAGTGTTACAGCAAGAATTTATTTTCAATATTTAGACTGTTATAATGTCATCTACTACAACAGAGAAGCTAGACATTCCCCTTTAACATGATGAACTGCACGACAGCTGCCATCATGCAGACCCCATGTCACAAGAGTAACCACTCAGACCATGTCTGAGCAGTGTCAGCACAAGCAGGATGAATTCTTATTCTCTACAACTCTCATAATCAGAAATTGCATGTGGCTTTTATTGGCCTTTTGAGCAACCACCACCACTATTTCCCTATGACTGTTACAGCAAAATTTTCCTATTTGAGGAAAGAACAGAAAAGTCTCCTGCTAAACAGCTACTCCCTACATTCCTCCACATAATGAATTTTTAGACTGAACTGCCCTTTCTCTCCCCCTAAACCCAAAGCCACTCCTCTTTGCCCACTCTTCTTTTTCAGCCCTGCAGCATTCTGTACCCAAGCTTGCGAGCCTACTGTTCCACTCAATTAAGACCTTACTTGCATTAACCTGTGAGAAAGATTCTCACAACCTACACACTCAACACTAGTTCAACTGATCCAGGTTAAAGTCATACAAATACCACTTTAGGAACATTCTCCCCCTTACCCACCCAAGGGCACATATTTAAAGTTTTATTTTAAAAGGTAATTTGTCATACTTTTTATGTCCTTCTTTGGTCCATTATGTCTTTGTGTACATACATCACAGAGTAGTTTATTGGTCTCGGTAAGTTTTTCATTATGGGTAAATTGATACAAACAGTGATGGATTGAACCTTCTTCTGGGTTCAGATCTTCCCTGTTTGCAAGAGTACAAAATGCTGTTTCTGGATCCTCAGTCGATACTTCACACGTCTTGATGGGAACAGTTTGAAGGTCACCTAAGGTACCCGTATCAGATTCAGCATTGGCACCCACATGTAGTTTTGAAAAGTTGATAGCAAGCTCTTCTTCATCTTCATTTTCATCATCCTCATCTTTCAAAGATAAGTTGTCAAGGCCATTGACAAACTTTGTAGGAGAATCTAAGCCTTCCATAGGGAGATCCATGAGACATTCATTTTCTACACATTCTTGTTCCCGCTCTCCTATATTTTCATGCATGCTCTGAACTTCTGTACTATTTCCCTGTACACTCAAGTCTTTTTGAGCTAAGCAGTGATCTTGGCAATCATTTGATAATTCCTCTTCTTGCTTCATATCAGGACTTTCAGAGTTAATTTCTGTCTCTGATTCTTGGTTATACTCGACATCTTTTTCTGACTGTCCAGTTGCACAGATATTTGTCAAGTGAAGCACCTTTCCTTGAAGTTTTTGCTGGCGGCGCTGGCTCTGCAAATTGGAATACATAATATAAAACAATACAAAAAACAGAGCAAGTGTGAGTGATATTTAGCATTTCTTACCATTTCTTTATTAAAATTTTTGTAGCATGCCATAGCTGCAAAGGGCTGGAGAATAATCTACGATTTAATGATGAGAGGTGATCAATTCAACCAATACTCAGTTTATCCCAACTCAGATACAGATCCCACTGCTCCTTGTTTCACAGTATCCTCAAGATACAACTAACGATTCCCCCTTTATTATCTTCCCAGTCCTTTCTTCTATCTGTATTCTAAAGTTTTGTGAATATTCTTGTAAGCAATGACTGGAGAACAGCTGTCTGATACAAATTAATGCTACTTCAGACAGGCAACATAAATTCCACATGCCTCTGGATATTAGCTTATTCCTAGCATAGCAACTCTTAACAGACTGACTTCTTAATAGCAAAGATGTACAAAGATACAATTGGTCTTTTCAGTTACTCATTTGAGTGAGGAGAAATTCTAAGCTGTCTCCTTCTCCTCCATTTAAACGAGGAAGCAAAAAGAATTTGTTTTATCAGAAGTTGCAAGCACTTAATAAAAGTAAAATACTTATCAAACCAACCTTGGCTTGTTTTTTTGCCTGCTTCTTAGCCTTTTTCTGAAGGTGCTTACTTGTACCAGGGGGCTCATCTCTCTGCTTAAGATAACAGTCATTGTTTTTATCCTCTTCATCTTCAGATTCCTTTTCTTTGTTTTTTTTAACGTTTCTCTCATTTGTAGTTTTTACTTTCTACAAAGAAACAAAAAGCCACAAAACAACCACAGAAGTAGAGATGTTACTGTCCTGAATAACAGAATAGTATTCCAAAGAAAACTGTAGGGATGAGATGTTATCTGAACTTTCAGCTCAAGATACAACATTTTAGTGACTATAACATAAAATTCATTGATGCCACTGTACTGTTTACAAGAGCTCGCTCTCTCCAGAGGGAGTCCATGTGAAACAGTGACTTGCAGAATGAAACACTGTGAAAAAATAAGGCTATCAAGAGCCAAATTCTGAACCTGTAAAGGGGCAACATTACCTTTGGCTCTAACAGATGTTACTCTTCAGTGCACTTAAAGAGATTTAGATTTTACACAAGCAGAGACATTTTCAGTTGAACTGCCTGCCACAGAATTTGTTTGCTTCTGCAACAATGAAATTTGTTCATTACATAAGACATATTATCCCTTTGGCTAAGAGAGTTTCATTTCAATATTTACTCATTAGCCTTTGTGTGAGCAGTGCTACATAACATATCTGAAATATTACATATACAGATTATCATACAAAACACAAAGCAAATAAAGTATTTTGAGCATCTAGAGATCGATCAAATAAATCAATGTCGATCAAATAAGTATTCACATATTATCCAACCAATGTTTCTTAACGTTATTCAATAACCTGAATATTCATGAGAAGTATTTTGCACTCAGTAGAGAAAAATGGATTAAAAAAAATAAAAAAACCCATAAAATAAAGCATTAAGCAACCACTAGGCACCCACTGCTGTCATGCAATTTAATTCAGTTTTACAACAGCGAAGAGGAATTGGGAAACATTGTTCTTTGTAAGTCAGTCTTCTACAATAGTGACACAATATTGGAACATACTAGATTATTCTTTAAGCCAATCTCTACATTAGAAACATTAACTGACAAAGCAGCAAGATCACCAACAGACTATCAGTGATTTTCCAGAGACAATTCACGAGCCACAACTTACAGGAATGACTCTCGTGAAAATCTTATTCTCTATCTTTCCAAGCAAATTTGTAACTTTAACTTTCAAAGGAGACATTTAGAAAGATGCATAAATTAATTCCCCAGTGATTGTATAATAAAGGTGCTTTCATATAAGCAAACAAAAACTAAGCCAAAAAGCAAGCACGTACAATTTCCTACCTGATCATCTAGCACGGGAAGCGACAAATCAAGGAAAGACTCATGGACCAAGGATACCTTTAAATGAATATTTAAGAGTCCAATTAAATTTTGTTTGGAAGTGGCTGGCTTGCTGTCAATAAGCTTATTTGTACGTAGCCTTGTTTGTATTCGATGCATGCTGTCACTTGTCCATACAAACGTAAAACACAGCTAATCTACCTTCACAAACAGCTACCCACGACCAAAATCTAGCAGTCCTATTACCACAGAAATAAGCAAGAAATACTTTCACAAATTTCAGTGCTCTAGTGACCTAGAATGTGAGAACCCAACTTAGGGCCTATGACATTGATATATGCAATCTGTCATGACATTCGTCTGGCCCACTCACTAATACCCTTAATTACTTCATTCTCAGGATGCGTTATCCCAACAGTGCCGTTGTTTAACTGTTCTTCTGACAATCCCAGGGTCATTCCCATGTGGGAAAGGGGGAGACCTAATCATCTGATGAAAAAAGGAAAGGGCCCCTTGCGGCATACTGCTGGTAGCAGAACAATTCATCCACTCTGCAGTTTGTACAACTGAAGGTGTTTACCAGGAATCTGGAAATGAATTCTTCTGGCAGAGGTAGCTTGCTGTTGCTGACCTCTTTTTCTGGAAGTCTTTTTGAAAGGGACTGAAAGATTAGCTTTGTAACATAAGGGAAGAAATATTCCAGCCAAACTGTGCCCCTCTTTGAAAAGCATGCAGCTAGTCAACTCTTGGAAGTGTATTAACTGAATCAAACCTCTCCAATTTCATTTATTTCTATAGATAGTTACTCTGGGGTTCTCCTGCAGATTACATAAAATTATACTCTAGGCTATTCAAAGCAGGCAGTTTACTTACGGTTCTGCATTCCTCACACATGATTGTACTGGTTAATTCTCCACCAAAGATTCGATCTACAAAACTTTGTATTCCCTTTTTCTTTTCATATTCTGAGAATTGACAAAGTATATAGTAAAGTTAATACTACATATAATACGCTGGCAACCAATTTAGTTACGGCATACCAAATAAAAGAGAATACAGTATGCAAGATGTATGATGGAATGTGTTGGCCTGTTCTAGTTTCCTCAAGAATTACAGTAAGATTCTGAAATTAAGATTCTTTCACGTATGAAAGGAATGGGGGCAAACACACATTTGCAGAAGACAGTTTGACTGAACCAACACTTTTACCACTTTTGCCAGTCAAACACATTTCCCTATTTTCTCACAAGTACTGCATCCCAGTAAAAGTTCCTGTTTTCTCTCCGGACCTAACTCAAACAACTGACTGAACCTAAAAAAAAAACAAGCACAAACTTTTGTCTGTATAGGTGCCCTACAGACAAAACCAATTTCATCAAGTTATATTTTCAGTGTAGCACATAGTCTGAATTTAAACTTGCTCTTCATCTTCTGAACTAAGTCATGTCAAAGTTTAAAAATTCTTCTGCTCACTAGTTCGGGTTTTTTCCTATTCATCTGTTAAGCAACAATGGACTATTAGGATTGAATAAATCATTACATCAATGTGCTAATATTTTAAAGTTCTTACAGAATATTTGAATGATTAAACACTACCCAAATACATTTTAATGTACGATGTCTACAGAATCAACTCTCTTACACTGTTAAGAAGGAAATGCCACCAAGTTCAGTAAGACATTTAAATAAATTGACTAACGCTATTGAGCCTTAAATTCTAGATACACACATATTCAAGAGACGGTAGGAAGTTGTACAATTAAACATGTATCTTTTAGTTGATACTATTAGTGTTACTTTGCGTACTTCAATGAAACAGAAGATTTTAAGTTATCACAACATCAGTAACATGTATTTTACCTTTAATTTTCTTTTTAAGTTCTTCTTCATTTTGTTCGTTAGAGTCAGTCAGCGCCTTCAGTATTCCAACAGTTATTTGCTGAAATTTAAAAAAACAAAAAAAAGAAAGAAAAACCCACGCTGTAAACTTTCCTAAACTAATTCCAGTTAACTAGTTTTACAAAATGTTTCAGATGGAGGAAAAAGTTTAATCTTTACCAACTAAGAAAATCAATACAAACAACACAAATGCCTGTAGAGACACAAAATAGTTTCTGTGGATATTAAAAAAAAACCCAACCAACTGAGAAACAAGCTTACAACCGCAATGTTGCAATTAGTATGTAAGAAAATCAGTCTAAGGATTAAATACTTTCACAAATGAAAACTGGAAAAAACCCAAATCAAACCAAAAAACAACCCATGGAATTTCCACAAGTGAACTTTCAGAAATTAAGACAAAAGAACATTCTTTAGGGTGACTACAAATACTCCAAACCCACTTTTTCTGTAGAAGTTTTGGACAAGTCAATCTATTTCTGAAGGACAATAAACATTTATATTAGAAATACTGCATTAATCAAAGACCTTTAGAGCAAGCAAAAGTGAACCTTTCTACTTGATTTTATTAGAAAAGAATAGAGAATAACCAGTACACTGCTTTCCAAAAAGGCAGAAAAACATCCTTACCTCGGAAACCTAAACAATGTGTGCAACATACGTAAAAGATAAAGTCCACAAACAAACTTCTTTCTTTGAATAGTTTTGTTAAATAAAAATAGTAATACCCATGGTTGCTCCTTCACAACCCCACTGGTTAGAGCCTGCCTGGTTCTATGGTTCTGTCACTAATCTGCTCCAAGTGCGTGCTACGGGCAGCACAAACCACTCCGCAGAGGTTGACTTATCTCAGAAAGAACGTTCTTTCTCCTGTCAGCAGAGGAGAAAACGTTGGCCTGGGCTATAAAGAGAAGCATGCACAACTATGAAAGTAGCACTCACTTGGATTTCTTCTGCTCTCATTCCATCAAGTAAGTAACGAAGCAATTCATGACTGTCTTGCTGCTGATAACCTTTAAATCGTATTGCTCTGTTGAATGAAACAATAATTGTAAAGTATAACTGAACTTAGAGATAGACAAAGTAAAAACAATTCATACTAGACACAAAAGGACAAAATTTCAAGCATGAATGTATATAAAGGCAAAAAGTGTCTATACATGGTATTTTCTAAGAATATGAAGGTAGCTAATCAGAGTAAGTCACTGAGTATCTTTCATTTTACTTCATTTATATTTTGCTCTTTATCCTCTTCTTTCAAAACTTAACTGTTACGCAAATTTCATATGCTGTGATGTGAGCTCAAGAAAAAAAAGGGTGAAAATTGACCTTATTTTTAAACAACTAACAAACTTTTTCCATACTCACTATGACATACAATTGTACAGATACTCACTTTTTACAAACCTGAGCAAAAAGTTCCTTAGGAGTGACTACCCCTTTTTTTGTCTCTTGCATTTCTGTCAGGAACTGATACAGGGCTAATGTCAAAGGACCTGGCTGATCTAGTTTTATCAGCTGAGGTTCCTGTTTTAAACAAAAGCAACAAAGTTGTTTTGCCTTAATTTGGTAACAGATCCTTCTGGAGTAAGTTTTTCCTTATCTAAACACTTGAGTTCTTGAAAAAATTATTATAAAATAGAATATATGAAATTAAAAAATGGCAATAAGTTAACCTGACAAAAACAATCAACACATGTTTTGTCATGAGATTATACCAAAAAAACCTGGGCTAAGAATCATTAATTATTTATTGCTTAGTTCCAACTCTGGATTTCTTGCTTTTATTAGGAAAAAAGTACAATTTCTTAAAAGGCACAACCCTTCTTTCTCATCCAAATCCCTAACTGTAATAATAGGTGCATTATTTAAGGTAGCGCTGCAAACATCCTCTAGTTTCCTATTTTGCATTTAAACAAATGACACTATAGCAAAAGTTACACATTTTCGTCCTTTAAATAACTTAGTAACAACCTAAATACTCCTTTGATGACAATTAATACTTATAGAGTATTGAATCACTGCTCTTTCACTTTGAATGGAAGACCTCCACTGACTTCAGAAGCACCTTTATGAAAGTCAATGGCGAAGTTCCCACTGATTTTACATCTTAATCTTGTTAGTATTTAGCTGAAACAGCTTTAAAATTCAGAGATGAGTATTGCTTATTTCTTTAACTGATTGGAAGGGTGGGGAGAAACACTATGGAGGTCAAAGCATATATACCATGGATAACTCAGGTGACTCAATTTTAACTGTTGTGCCAGGCATTTTAGCTTCTTTAAGCAGCTCCCTCAGTACTGGAGTTTGTGATAAATTCTGTAGAACATAAAAGAAAGAGAAAGATTGGTAACTGGAAAACAAGAGGAAGGGCAAAGGAGTTCCACTGGTCGTGAAATTTATATCAACCAGATTAGCAGCAATTCATGTTTCCCAAACACGGAACTAGAGCGGTAACTACCACCCTGCAAATTCTAACAGTGTTGTACACTTAAAGGTACATTCCATACAGCTAAGACTTCCAAGCGTCCTCTTTATATATTAGTTTATATTGCAGAAACCCTAAATACACTATCCTTCTACAGAATGATCTTTTCACAGTCTATTTACTGTCTGTTTCTAAAATCAGAATGTAGCGTGCCTATCTGCTTGGTTTAAAACATGATTTAAATAAACAAACAAACAATACAGTTTACTAAAACCTGCAAGTACAGTGGGAGTTTTGTTTGAGTAAAGCTTCAGAATCAAGAGCCAAAGAACACAAGATTACATGGCAAGTTATAATATACATGAAAGAGTAATTTGATTCTATCCAAACACTTCTTAGCTGAGCAAGACACACAAGATGACAATGCAATATACTCTTGTTAATATTTATTTGATTTCCTGTTGCTGAGAAAGACATTTTTGTTTCAGTAAACACCCACGGTCTTTGGGTATTAATCTCTTATATTCTAAGAGGTCAGCAAGGGTGATGAGCCAGACTCTTACTTTTTTTTTTTTTTCCACCAAACTAGGAAGTTGGCATGCTTAATCTATATCAGTGAAAGATGCTGTCCCTCAAAGACAGGGCAGTTTGTTATATCTTCCCTTAGAGCAAGTCTGAACCTGCAGCTCCATTTCTTCGTATTCCTCTGGGCCAACACACTATTTTTAGAATGAACCCATCATTCTTGGCAGATAAAAATCACATTCCAATTGTGTCATGGTACCATACTGGGGGTGGGGCTGTTGTGGGTTGTTGGGGTTTTTTTGCTATTCAAAAGTTTTTAAGAGTAACAATAAGTACCGTACCTGCATCACTGCATTAAAGAAACACGTATTCCCCAAGTTACTAAGTCCTTTCACAGTCACTTCCGAGTTAGTACTTGAATGAGAACTCTCTTCTTTAAGTGAGACTTCTTTTTCTTGCTCATTTTTGCTGTCTTTTTCTACTTTTTTATTTTCAAATTCTTTGTTCTCTTGTTTTCTTTCTACTGAAATAATAAAAAAACCCATACCACATATTAACCCAGTAACAGGGAATAGGCTAGGAAAAAGTTATTATAGGCAGCAGCAATCTATAATGTTTAAAACATCGGATAATTAATTCTGTAATTGTATAAATGTAACACTACTGGTTTAAGTTCTTAAACTGTCTAGGTAACAATAGTTAAAACAGAAACAAACCAACAAACAAAAAATAATCAAGAAACCCCCAAAATGCCATTTCAGATCAGCATGCATTTTAAACACGCCGCTTGGCCCACAAGCCATTCATGCCAACAATCTCTGAAACTCTGCATGTGTCATCTGAAATTTCATTCCTGTTGTAAAATCACTTATGTTAGGGCTTTATACAGCATCCAACAAGATGGGATCTGAGACAACATCCCTTTTGACATGGCACTATTGTCTGAAATGAAATGCATGGGCCTCCCACTGTCAAAGCATTCTCATGTTCATGAAATGAACATAAACAGATGAAACTGGAAGGCTTACATTCTTCAAGACATGTTAAAGATTATTTTTCCCAAAATTACTTTGGTGTATAGCTCAAAATCTCAATGACCTGTTTAATAAAACCATAAGGGAATTCCAGGTAATTTTCAGAGTAATACCCACACTGGTTCTGCCAGCTTGGCAGTCTACTATTGATAAGGTTTCAGATAAATAGAGCTGTGAGCCAAGATAAACTTTAAAATAATGTCAGCTCAGAGAAAGCAAGGAAATGAGACAATGCAATATTTGCAGATGGACAAGAAACAGACGGAACACCTGAAACAGGTAACAATGGCATGGAGGTATTCATCCGTTTTCCATTTCAAACCCAAGAAGAAAATTCTAGCAACCAATATGAAGTTCAAATATTAGATGTAGAGAAACCACATATCCAGGAAAGACTGACCAAAACCACTCAAAGATTCTGGTCCTTGTGGGAAAGCCTCAGCTGCTTCCTGAACAAATACTCAAAGGACAGCCAGCTGGCACTGCTGGATGGCTGCGATCTATTTCCCAAGGGGGGTATGATTTCACCCAAGGGTAGGATGGTGTTGGAATTTTTTGATAGCCAGGAGTTATAGCATTTATTTTGATAGGCAAATTCCTCCAAGTTTTCTAGTGGAAATGCCTTGCACAAAACCAGTTTTGCCATTGTGGAAATTGGGGTTTTTTGCTGGGTTTGTTTCCTTTTAAATAATCACATTTGCAGATAGACTTCAGGCTGAAAATGCTATTTTAGAGTTCTGAATGCACTGCAGCTACCTATACTAAAGGTACAGGCCCAGCAGACAAAAGAGTACAACTCTTTTGTACTCCTTCCATTAAGAAATGTGCTGCACCAGATGGAGACTTGGTCATTCCAGCTGATACGTTCACAAATACCTACATAAAATACTTTAAAAAAAAAAATAAAATCAATTTATCCTTAAGTGATGACAATTTTCCTTCAGATCTCAAGACAGACTGAGCAATACTGATGAATAAACAGAGCACTTGTAAGTGCTGAAAGTCAATTCCTTACTCACAGAACAACATTTAAAATAAGAAGTCAGAGTAAAATGGCATTTTTTCCTTTCTATTCCTATATTTCTGGTTTGAAAAGTTTAGGGGACACTGAGCAAAACCCTGGTCATTTTAGGTCCATGGGCAACGATGTTACTTATGCTATCAGAATACTGACAAAAAAAAAAAAAAAAATTAGCTTTCTAATTTACCATAAGGTGCTTCAAAAGTTACATCTAATTTAATGTACATTCTTGATTTTCAGTACTGCCTCCTACGTTTAAGGGACTTGCTGATTTACTGTATGTATACTATAGTTACTTACTTGTACGTGATGAGTCAGTACAAACTTGTTTCCTAACATAATCCACAGTCTGACCCAATCGGGTTGAAGTATTATATGGGACTTCATCATCGCATATGTAGCACCTGTCTCCGTACCCCCCCCAAAAGAAAAACAATTAATCCTACTTTTTTCTATTGTTTAAAAATCCTAAACTATGTGCTTGTTTGATGCAATTCATTACACAAAGTTAAATAATTATGAGATTTCTTTTACAATTTAGAAGTCTAAGAGAAGAATTCAATCTATTTCTGATCAATAAAAAGTTGAAAAATTATCACTACTAAATTACTTCAGTGACTGGAGGTTGCAATTTACAAATATAAATTAGACCCTTAAAAGACGTGCTTAGAAACCTAGTCTGCAAGAAAAATAAACGCAGGGAAAATTTTGCCAAAAATCGAGAAACTAAGATATCAAGCCCTGAAGGAAATGACTTAACAAATGTTATGGCATGGAAAGATAATCTGAGAATTCTAGCCAAGCCAGTACTTCATTATATTTAAATTGGACAAGAAACAAATTGTTTCCTCCTGCACGCTTTTATTTGCTCTTCTGTTGCTGATATAAACCTATTTGTCTCTTTATGAGCAAAGAAGTGCATTGTCAGCCACTAATTTGCTTTAAACAAAATTGTGAGGGAAGCTGCAGTGACAAAAGGCTCAAGTAAGAGTAAAATTCAGGAGAGTCGTATGTACGGACTTTGTAGTTCTGCCCAATCAACTCTTTGAGGAGGTGACAAAAGGTACTGAAGAGAATGCAAATACTTCTGCACTTTGAGACATACCAATTACAGTTCTTAGGCACAAATGCATTTAGCAGATTTCAGGATTACCATAAGTCAGACTCTATTTTCTGATATTGAAAGCAAAGTGCAGCAAAGTGCTTCCCTAAATCTCTAGCATCTCTGGAATCAGCTGCAATTTTCACATTTCTTCATGTCTCATTGAAAAAAAACTGGCTCAACCTTTGGATCCCTGAGTATTTATTGTCTGTCTGGTTAAATATGGGCATTCTCACTCCTGGAATAATAAATGATAGTTACTTCCATGGGCAATTTTTAACATCATAACCTTTCATCCACCAAAAATTTTTATAGGATGCCTTGAAGGAATCAAGTTTTTTCAATGATGGCTGTTTGACCAGTGGGGGAAAAAACATTAAGTAGATCCAACTGGTAAGTCATACCAGTACTGAAAATATGTACAATAGCAATTGCTGTAACCCCAGAAGAGCGGAACTTAATGAATCATTAGAACTCTCCTCTTTCTCTCCATGTTCAAAACCTTTTCTTTTAACCATTTACAGGTACTATTCAAGTCCAATTTCAACCACATATGCATGCGCACTACAGAGAGATTTATTCATACGTTCATAGTATTAATAAATTCTGATCAAAAAAGCTTTTGCTTTTATGTATTAAGCCAAGTATGAAATACAGTTCTTGACTATAGGTTTGATTTATAAAAATAATTTATACCAAATATATAAATCTCTGAAAAATTTCTTGTGCAAGTTTGTACAAGCAAAAAATTAGAAAAAAAGCAAATCTCTTGCTTAGACAAATTCCTCTCATTTGCAAGTACTTTGATTTAAAAGCTATGTAATTTTTAGAACAGAGAAAATAAATCCTTTTAAAATCATAATTTAAAAGCTTATTTAAATTCACAAAAATAAGTTTACTAGTTCATTACTAACGTTATTAATGTCCATTTCCATTCTACAGTTCAATAAAAATACTGATCATTACATTTAAGAGTTCTAAATATGATCAAGTAAAGACATAATGTTATATAAAATTAACATAATGACAAATAAGTTTAAAAAAGGTTACAAAGCAAAATGAAAACTCTTTATGTAAGGCACAGTATTTCTGTACGGCACAGTTTGGAAAATTAAAATTCCCCCTTACATAGTAACATACTATTCCTTTTAAGAATGTTTCTTTCAGGAGAATTATTTTTAAGAGAAGAAAATAGTGCCAAGGAGATGGAATTTGTATTGATAGATCCAATAGCATCTTGTAACTCTACAGTTGTGCTTCTTAACTATACATATGGTATTAAGAAGTCATATTTATCGGGAAAATAAAAGTAATTAAGTTTGTCACTAACTGTGCATCAGAAGTGGCTTCTCCCAAGGCTGAAAGTTAAGATTTAGAACTACATAACAACGTAAGTTTCTATATGCTGGTATTCTGATCACACACAAGCAGTAAAATATGAAGTCAACAGCATTTAGTAGTTGGTCAATTTAACTTCAGTTATTGAAATTTTCTAATTATAAATTTTACAAGTAATATTTATTCAGCAAATCTCAGCAAAGATTGCTGTGGATTTTGTTTCTGGAAATGCCTTATGAATTTCTAGAGAGAAGTCCTAGAAAAGAGAACACAAATTATATCCCAGCCTCTGTTGCCCTCTAGCTGTCTTATAACTGTTGCCTGACAAACTCACCACACACTCCAGTTGTCCAAACTGAGAACCAAACAATGGGGATCTGATCTCGGCGTTGTATAATGCTTTAAAGCATGCTGTTCTGGAGAATTTCTGCCACAGCCCTATAATGTTGATAACCAGAAGTGTCACAAAATCCAGTTGACTATCAATGAAACATACATAAAGGCAGAGTATAAACAAAGTATTAAAATGAAAACTGATTACGTTAAACTAATTAGGATGAATAGATGGGTCTCTATTTCAAGATACTTATTTCTGCAGAGAGAGAAGTAACTTACTGGGTGCAGAATAACTATAAAGTTACTTGGGGACTGAACATCTAATTTACAAATTCCAGTTTGAACAGTTTGAAGAACAAAACAGAGTAAAACCAAAAACCTCCTCAGCATGCAGAGTTCTAAGTTTAATAAACTAATGTTAGGATAAGATGTTATTGTAAAAATCAAAAATTAGGAGCATTAACAGAAATTTTTATTTTCTTAGCAAAATTTGGACCTTCTAGGAAAGTAAGTCCTCAAGATGGTGTTTTAGCCTTAAGTCTGCTAAATGCTTTTGTGCCAAGCTTTTAAGTGCTTCATTTGCAATTCAGAGCAGACATTTTTTATCACACTAAAGTACATCAAACCATTTATGTAGCACCACCTTTAAAATAAAAAAAAGTCAGAATGTAAGAGTTTAATTTGAAGCTCCCTTGTTCCGCTATATTATGAGGCACTGAAAGATAGTAAGACAAATTAACAATAAAACAAGAGATACCCTGTGGCCACATTTTAGACATAACCATATCGAAGGGCTTTCATCAGTCTCCTCCTCAGACTTCTCCTGTGTCTTATTGTCTGCCTTGCAGTCCTGACAAACATGCCACTCCACGTTCAGCAGTGCCTTTTTCAGATGACCTTGTTCCAATCCTTTACGAATATGCTTGCACACAGGTTCTACAAAATAAAAAGCATGAGAAGGATGTCGGTATCACAACAAATGCAAATGTCTCTAAGCTTCAAAGACACAGGCAGCAATCCAGAAGCTAGGATAGCCTTTCTGGTGCCAAAGAAACATTGATGATTTAGCAGGTGTATCAGAGAGAAACCCTGTGTCACCCCCATTCACAATCCAAGGATATTGTTGCTGCATCCTACTGCATTACTAAAAAAATAAAAGTAGAATAAAAAAGTATCACTCAAATCTACATCTAGTCAGAGGAGTTGACAAAACCTACCTACTGTGCCAGGCTGTGGGCTTCTACTACTGTGGCGTTATGATGCCCTCACCTCCCAGGGAGCAGCCACAGCCCACTGCCACGGTTCCCAGTCACCAAGGCAGCACCTGGCTGGCCTATAAAAGTGGAGATTATGGAGGTTACGCTTCCAGCTGAGCTGCATCACTGAAATTATGCAGCAGACTACGGTAAAAAAAGAACAGCAGAGTCATCCTACCTCTATCGTCATCACTTCACACTACAATACTACACCCTGCTTGCAGCTGCATCTTCTGGGCCTGGTGTGAACTCCATCTGTTTAACCAAACTCTGCTAAGAATGGTTACACTGAGAGCAGGCATCTGCTGCTAAGAGCTACTATCAGGACTTTAATTATCTTATCTACTTTTTATTTAATTTTTAAGGTTGTTGGTTACACTGTCACTTGAGGAAAGAGAAGCTGCCTGTAAGCTTAAGTCACATACAGAGGAACTGTGATTGACAGACAATACATATGCAAACTGATTCAAGTTCTTTCAAACAAAAAAAATGAGGAATGTATGTATTTTTTTTCCTCTACACATAGGTTTCTAAGACACTTAGTATCATCAGCCTACAATTCTTCACTATTTGCAGTTACAAATGTCTACATGTGCAAATACAGGGTCAATATCTGACAGTACAAATAGTTACGTCAAAAGTCAAAAAGCACAACCAAACCCATGCTAAAGCAAAAATGCTGTATGTACTTAACATGTTTAAAAAACCCCGCATTTTTGTGAAACCATTTTTGAGAAGAATTACATAGCTGTTTATGTAAATCAACTGTCTTAAGCCCTTTGCTACAGGGGTATTTTTATTGCTCAGACAGCATAACAGCTCTGAATCTATCTTTGCTGAGGACCATATGCAAGATTACAGCCTCAAGATAGCAAATGTTTCTTGGCATAAGCTGAAACTGGTGAAAAGTTTTATACCTACATTTCTGTTTCTGTCCAGGATTATAGCATTTTACCAGAGCCAGTAAGCGCCAAATGCAGATATTTAGATGCATTCTTTAAGCCTTTTTAAAAAAAGGCAAGTTTCATCTACAACTTCAAAATTGTCTTTTTTAAACAAGCCTTTTGTACACTGGCTGCTACTATACAGTAGAATTACTCACAATGATCTGTCTTAGTTTACATTTGTGGCTTTTCAGGACTTTGTCGGGGTAAGCTAGCTGATTTTTAGCCAAAGAAGTAAGATGCTATCAGCAATTCCACCATAACTGATTTTTTTTTTTCCTGGAGAAAAATGAGGAACTGTCATAGCAAACATTGATCTTGACTCCAGAGAGGGGGGGAAAAACAAAAGCAGGGTAAACTTGAATTTAAAATAAACAGGCCATCACACTGAGCCTCTTGGCTAAAACTGTAAGTGCTCACTCTCTCTTAGCTAAAGTACCATGACAACTCATTTTCCCAGTTGGGATCAACAAAAAAGATGGACAAAACACAATCTGTGACTTGGTAGACAAGGTGGTAGAGAGAATGCTATCCAGTACAAACAAAAACAAGAGCTATAATAACCAGGGTAAGCAAGATAACAAATACAATTTCAACACAGGAGTGAGATCCAGTACAGCTAGAAGGATAACTTTAACAATTTGGCATTTTCTCTAAAGGAGCAGAAGGCGAGAAAAAGAAAGAAGTTTTAACCAAAAAGCACTATGACTAGAGAGCCAAGGTGTCGAGGGCCAGTGCTTAGTTGCTAGTGTAAAGACAAATGGTTTCACAGAAATATTTTAATCACAATCTTTTTTGCTGAAGTGAGAATCTTCTGCAACACCACGTTCATTAGGAAAATGCTATCTTGACAAGCGTAGCAGCAGACTCTACAAACACTTCATATTCTGAGGAATTTGATATGATTCAATATGATCTGTGTATCAGTAAAGAATTGTTTGTCCGAGTTTCCTGAAAACCAGAAAATAATCCTAGTTTTCAAGACAGGATTATCATTCTCTAGCATACTTAGAAAAGTAGCAACTCAAAGGTTTCTTGGTAGACTTCCATTTCAATTATACAAACCCACACTTCGTAAATGAGACTTCAAAGCCAGTGACTAGCATAAAGGCCTTCTAATATTAATAAGTTTTCAAGCCCTCTTTGAGGTTAAAACAAACGTTAGGACCACAGACTTCTCTGAGGAAACATACCCAGTGTATCTGGAGACCCATCAGATTGTGCAGTTTTGCCTTTGATGCGTTTCTTTCCCATCTTTGTAGTCTGTAATTTCTCTTACATGGAAGAGTTACCTAGCAAAGAAAATAGTAAATTAGAAAGTAGGTTTTTGCTTCACTTGTTCATTGCTAAACAATAAATTATTTGTATGGCCAAGACGTCCCTTGAGGTGAATTAACTTGTTTTAATTTGACATTTTCAAAAGAAAATAAAGTAATTATACTCTAACATGAAAAAATCGTAACTGTTGCGGAAGCAAGATTACAGGGTGAATTATAAACCCCAAATGATTTAAAACCTTAAATCAAAAGCATTGCACAGAAGAACAAGATGGGAAACCTAAGTATCAAAAATCCTATACACCTTTAGGACTTGTCCTTTAACTAACTAATAACACAGGGATTTTTAGGAAAAATGAATTGGGTTTGTCCCAATTAAACCTTGAAGTTTTTTTGCAGTTACAATCTTTTAATTTTCTTTACTGCAAATTCCTTGTATCTTTGATGAAGTCTGATACACGCAAATAACATATTTGAAAATGCACAGACAATGAGAGTTCCAATTTTTCAATTTCTTAACCGGGTGAGATTTATCATCGCATTCTCATCACAGCAAGCAAATAATTCAGATGAGGTCTGCTATTTGGGGCGTCTGTAAACCCTTCTAGACAAGGGGTGAGCTACCACTACAGAGTCCTAAGTCAAGCTGGCTACTGCACGCATGGTAGGACATTTTTAACTTGTAGTCCATAGCCCCTGCAAGGCCCCTGTGCCTTCTCTCACAAAAGGTCATTCAAAGAGATCAGGTAAACTTAAAAATCGACATACTGCTCTACAATGAAAGCATATAAGCTAAAAAGGTTCAAAATCAAGTCTCTGCAGTCTCACGCAGTCTTTGCAGGCCGGCCTAGCCCCGCTCTCCACCCTTCACGTACAGGCGTTAGCGCGGCACTAGACCCCACTTGTAACAGCCGTCCTTCCTAAACCATTTCTTAGCTCGTACTCGGCAGCACGCAGAGAGGAGCTGCCTGCGTGGGGCTAACTAAGCTGGGAAGAGTTTAGGCGTGATACCCACAGAGGACTTTTTGTATGAAAAATCTTCCCAAAGCATGCTTTTGGGACAGATTACCCAGCTGTTCAATGACAGGCAGGCAGCCACTTCATCAAGGGTAGAATTGTCTATCGCCTTTTGCAACTCAGCATTCAGTTTGATCAGAAAAAAGAAACGTCACTTCATACAACGAACTCCTTCTACAGCGCATTTTTCGCTAAAAAAAAAGCTACATTCGAACTTACATGAAGAACCCTAAACCGTTAAAATCCTTTCCCAATTTACTTTACCCCTGCCAGGAAGGCAGGGCCGCATGAACACATGCGGCTGCTAATTTAACCCACGCTGTGCCCGGACAGACTCGTCCGACACGCCCTTCACCGGCCTTTTCCACGGAACAGCCCACGCGAGGAAAAGCGCTGCAGGAGCCCAACAGCTAAAGCCATACAAACCCGCTTCGTTTTATTTTTATTTTTTAATAAGAGCGAGCAAAAGCGCACCGGCGTCGCGCGGAGACCCGGGAAAAACGCCCACAGAGGCACGCGTGGGAAACCACCGGGGCGCGGCGGGGGCCTGCCCTAGGCAGCAGGCCGGG